GGCGGGAGGCGGAGCGCTATCGGAGAAGGCGGGGCCAGCACCGGAAGGGACTCTGTCCTCCAGCCGGCCTGGTGGGAAACAGCAGCAGGCGAGCCGAGAGTGACTGTGTCAGACTCCAGGCCGACCTAGGACAGCGGGGTTGGTGGAAGGCAGGGAACCTGTGGGCTCCATAAATAGGGTCAAGCCCTAGAAGATTGTCCTGACGCCTTGGGAGGGGACCAGCTCCCTTCCAGGAGCCAACTCAGTGATCACTGCTACATGTACTGCCCCTTTTCTTTGACAGTGTCTATGCCAAATGCCAAATAATTACTTAATCCTGTTTCGGCTCTGCAAGGTAGATCATTCATCACAGAGAGGCCAAGAAACATACTGCCTGACAGGTTGTTACTAGAGTTTTAGGGCAAAAGCTCGGGCTAGTGGGTCCCAGAAGATCAAGTTCACCCACCAGTCCCATAACTCCAATCAAAGAGCAGTGCAAAGGGCAGGAAAGGAGCTTTAATCAACATGGCCAAGCTGGAAAGTACAGATAAAGTTCAGGATCTGTCTCTAAGAGGCTTATAGACACTTGGTTTTAAAGAAAATGGAAAGAGCCGGGCGTGGTGGCGCACACCGCACACCGCACACCTGTAATCCCAGCACTCTGGAGGCTGTGAGTTCGAGATCAGCTTGGGCTACATAGTGAGTTCTAGGTCAGTCTCAACTACATAGTGAGACCCTGTCTCAAAAAATTAAAAAAAAAAGAAAATAAAAAAGAAAATGGAAAGAAAGTGGGAGTTGGCAAAACTGTGAGCATAGGTCACCCTGGCATGTCCTTGGCCTGGTTGATGGGCATCTCAGGACTGGTTCTGCGAGGTTCTGGGAGAGCCATCATTGACCGAGGCACAGTTCGGTTCCCATTGTGAGGTGGGGACTCTTACTCTGAGGATCAGCTTCAGATCCTATCAAAACATGGGATGCCAGGCATGGGGGTGCACACTGTTTCCAGCATGCAGGAGGATCATTGTGAGTTTGAGGCCAGCCTGGGCTACATAGTGAGTTCAGGGCCAGCCTGAACTACAATGGGAGACCCTATGTCAAAAAACAAACCAAAGGAGGTATCTGCCCCCACTTGAGGGGTGACCCCATCATGGGGTGGTCTTCGAGGCTCTGCTTTCCTCAAACCAGAAATGTCTACAGGTTTAGGACAATGACTGGAGACTTCCAGCCATCACTGCAGGTGGGTCTGGAACTGCACATTTTAAAAGCTGGCAATTGGATGGCCTTCAGATCCTAAGGATTTCTTCACTATTTTCTTGGTGTCCTCAGTCTTAAAGGGGGATGAGAGAGGTTAGGTAAATTTAGGGATAACAAGCCTTGTAATTCAGACACTCCTTAAGTGATTAGCATGCCCATGTGCAGACCTGAGCACAGATCTGATCCCAAGTTCTGAAGCAGAAGGCAGAAAGGTAAAATGAAGGCAGAGATGCCAGGCTTTATCTTTGTTTTTTTTTTTTTTTTTTTTTTTT